TTCAGATTTGTGGTACGACTTTAATAAACACAGAGGTAACAAACCATCACTTTCGCGGTCGTTGCCTAACCACTTCTTGCTTTATTTCACGGGAAAACGCCGACGGAATGCAGTGTAAAAAGGTAAACAATCACTGGCTGCAGAATGAATAGGCCTATCCTTGCGTCTGCCTCCGGCTTTTCTGTCGTTCTTTTTCTGGTTCTTCCTCTCACGATCACAGACGTCAGCGCTTACGATTTGCCACGCTCCACATTCCCGGCTTTTTATCCCTGATCTACGCGAGGTAGAAGCGTTCGAGCCGTCACAATCCAGAGTAAAGAACCGACGCACCCGAACAGATCCAACTCCACGACCCGACCGGCCCGCCGATCTCTCCAACCTCGCCGCGCATGCTCACCGCCGATTTAGACGGAAATCACGTGGGCCGCTCTGTCAGCTTCCGGAGAGATCCGTGAAATCCCGCAGAGCAAGTTCGGCGGAGTTTGGGGCGCTCCGTGGAGCGGGCGCTGCCAGAGATCTTCGAGAGGAAGATGACCAACTTGAGCCAGATCTGCGAGCGGAATATGCGCGCTCCAAATGGAGCGCTTTTGGAGCGCTCGAGATCTGCGAGCGGAATTCACCATTAGTAGTCGCCTTACCGGCGTATAGAGGGCGCTAACGCACTCGACGCCATTAGGTTGCTTCAATTTGGTTGGTTTCGGTTTCAACGGGAACGCTGCTATGTTGCTGTTTTACGTTGCTTTTGCTTAATTTTATGTTACGACATTTTGCTTGGTGTACAGAACCAATGAAGCAGTGGTATTAAGCCACTTTGAGGACTACGAGGTGTAACCCTAAATTGCGGGCTTTTTTGACCAGTTTCTTTAATGCATCTGATTATGGTCAGTTGCGAAAAGCCTGGCTAATGTACAGGGCAGATTACCATCGTCTACGGCCGTACCCGAAGACACCAGTTTCCAGAAGAACAAACTAATGAAGAGACTAACACGTGAATGTAAAGAAGCATATCGACAGCTTGATTAGCAGTGTGCTGAGTCGGCTAGAAAAGATGTGCTCGTGAGTTAACTACTCACTGCTTGGTTTTCGTGGGCACCCAAACTTCAGTGGACTTCGTAGACTGAAAACGTATCGTATAAGGATGTAGATAATTGTATAAACATGTAGTATTGTATTGGTCCCTTTTTTAATTCAGTACTCGAGCATGTTTTGAAAGGCCGAGAAGGAAATTTCTTAAATTATCTACCCTGCTAAAGTACTCATCAGCAGCATTTAGCGACATTGGCCCTAGGAAATCAATTTTTTTTATATGAAAGTTTGCCTACTCAGGATATAATTTAAGTGACAGGCCCGACAAATTAAGTCTGGCATTTTTCTTTTGCAAGATTGGACGAATAAAATTGAAAGGCGCGGGAGGAGAAACAGCTCAGAACGTTTGGCTGAATTATGGCGCTAGTCACTATTTCACTTACCTGTGACAAAAAATATTAAGGACTTTGAAGAAATTCACTTTGTAAATTTCGGCGTCGCCAGCCCACCAAATGTAAACCCCTATTCGCCATCGACTTTCCTGGACAATCCAATAGCCCATGACAAAAAATTTTTCATGCAAACAACTCTTTCTTTTTTTTCGGGGGGGGGGGGGGGGGGAGGGGGCGTCAAATATTGCGGACTTCAGATACTGCAGCAAAAGTTAAAACAGCGTACGCAAAAAAAAAAAAGATGTTGTTAATATTGCGCATGCGCCGAACCCAAACCGCGTTTTGGATTTGCAAATAGAAAAAATATGTAATTTGTTTCCGCACGTTACTCTAAGACTTGGTACTGTTAAGTGTATGTGAAAGTTTCTTACGCGGGAAGACCCAACCATTGTGTTGAAATTAAGGAAGTAGATGGCAATGGTTATCTAAATATTATCAATAAATTACTTAAGTGGCTGTAGAAATGGGAGCAAGCAATTGATGCAATACCCTAAAGTTCAGAGGTGAACCGACCAATTGAAAGTTTACGATGCGAAATAAAAAAAAAAAGAGTGAGAACCTTAAACAGATATAGGCGTGATATTATGAACAAACAAATCGCCTGATGTTGACGTACTTCTAGCCTCAGACGAAATACGAGCGAAACGTTCGTTGTCTATCTTCTCCGCAAGTTTGCTCAGATAATCATAGGAAACTGTTTTCGATATATTATGAATACAAAGAACGATATTTTTAGGAAATACGGATAGACTCCTTGCGGTGACTATTCGTGACGCCTTCCGATCCTACATGCGCGATATAAACATACGCGCTACTTACTGAGAATGTTCCGCGACTATTAGTAAACAAATCTCAGTTGTCATAAAGACATTTGAACCCCCGTGATGTTTTAGTCGTCGAGTAGACGTATCGGACTACCGTTTCCGAAGTAAAGCAAGAAAGCGCAGTGAAACGCGACGAAACACAGGAATGCAACGCATCCGCCAAGGCGCGGAGGGGAGAGTGGAGCAGCAAGTTGACGCAACCTAATGACTGCCTCTCCCCCCATAGGATTTTCACAATGTTTGGCAACCAAACGTCGTCACAACAAGCCAAGAAATTGATGTGCAACGTGTTTGCATAAATGATACAGACGGAACCGGGACCCTTCACAATATCCATATACCGGCAGCGAGGTCACTAGCGTAGATGAGCAGGAGTGGGTATTAAGCCCGGGATCCCTGGGTTCTGCTGGGCGAGCTTTCGCTATGCGTGTTCCGAGCTGAGGTGCGCCGATGCCTCCCTCGTGGGCCTAGAGGTAACTGAACGCGATCCAAATAGAATTCGCGCCGTGGCGTGTGCGTGCTCATATTTTGGTATACCGCTCCCGCGCTATGATTTTTCAGCAACACAAGAGTTTTCCCATTCATGACCTCCCTAAAATAAGCCAGATGATGGCGCAATCTACCGCCCGTTAGATAGGGTACAGCTGGTACAGCCACTATCATCTATCTATGGCAGACAGCGTTGTGGCAGTTGTGGTGGCAGGCTGCCACCAAAATAGCGGTGTGTGATATTTCGTGCTTGATTGATATTGCTCAACGAAACATATTTTTGAAACCCAGCGTGAACGGTAGCCTGATCATTGAGGACCTGGCGAAAGCTTCACGAAATCACTGCACTTGGGAAAAGCAACATAGCTCGGAAAGAAAGCGGCTTTGGGCGATGGTGGGACGCACACACGCTTTTGCGTATCTCCGGCTCCTCTCATGTCTTATGGCAATAGTGCTCCTTCGGCAAAGGGGCCCTCCGTCACCAATAGGCCGTGAAGAATTCACTTCGTTTAAATTAATTTTGTTTAGAACGTCGCAGGCGAATATATGGTATAAAAATATATAAATCACTCACGGGCACATCGGCACACAAGTTTGTGGAGAGACCGATTATATCCACTCGCGAGACTTCCCCGAATGATCGCGACCATGCACATCCACGGCGTCTCTTGATTCATATCCAAGCGTTCGGAGCATAACATTTTACCACCAACGAAATCACACCACCACCTGTCAACAATGTCGAACCGCGGAGGGGCCAATTCCCGGTAAAACGTCTGCTTTCGATGCTAGCTCCGCTGCTTTCCCCCGGTGCTGAGCTTTGGTAAAACTTTCGCCGCGTCCTCAAAGATAAGGCTACCGTTGAAGCTGGGTTTCAATAATCTGCTTCGTCAAACAACTTCAATCAATCACGAAATATCAACCACAGTATAGTGTACTAGACCCACGGCTATTTGTATGGCACCCTGCCGGCACAACGCTGTGCGCCAAATCACTATAATCTCTAGATAGAATATAACTCTACCAAAAATATGACCGAGCGTGGTGGCATTCTCGTCCATAGGCGGAGCAGGTTAAATGCCATCTAGCAAATAGATATACAGATCAGTGTGTTGCGGCAGAGCCGTGTATAGAGAGAGTTTGGTCAATAGGAGGCGCGGGCAGAGCCAGGGCATGCACCAGACTCGGAAGAGGGCTTGGCATGGTCTCTTGACCAACCCGAAGCTGAAAAGAGTTCCCTAGTGGTGGTAGCGAGAAATAGTTCTGATCCAAAGGTATATGTCCGTAAATGGTGTTAATAAGGGCGTAGGAGTGAAGTGTAGTAACTCTTCGTGGTTGAAAATAGGGTGCACGTAATGTTTCGATCCTGATCATGCAGAAAATTGTAACAAACGAATTCGCTCCTCAAGTCTGTTTTGCTCGGAAAGAGTGTGACCGCTCGAACGGCAGATTCCCGGCCCTCGGCCCTTGGCGTAAGGATTATGTCGATCGTTCCGTTAGTCGCACTGTTCCGCCATCATTTTGGATGAGCGTGATTGAAACATCACGTGCACCATATTTTCAGTCACCGAGAGTTACTCCGACGCAGTTATCAGGTTTGTTTCTCTCGACCACCACCAGGGTAATCATAGAAAAAATCGTAAGGGTGCAGGCGAGCTGGTGATTATTAACCATTGAGACGTCGTCCTATCTATTTTCTGTCCCTTCTACGTTTTGATGTTTCTTCTCTACCCCTGTCTCAGGTTAATTCAACATGGTTAATACCAGGGTAATATTTCCGGCTTCTGGTTGGTCACATTCGAATTTCTGAAGACGTCCTGGAACACGCCCAGCCCGCTTTCGACCGATCGCGCCTCCTCATTTATCTCCAATACTTCCCAATGAATGGCCAAACTCTCTCCATAGACGGCTCCGGGCCGCGGTGACTCAGGCACAGATGATAGTGGTACTTTGCGTTGATAGGCTCCCTGCCATCTGCTCGGGATGGGCGAGTCCTGACGTCAGCGCTAGTTAGGACGTAAGCCAGACGTCGAGAGCTTCTTATACAAAAACAGACGCCCACTCGCGAGAGGCTTTTTAGTATATGTATAACTTCACGTAGCTGTAGCCAGAGGCTTCTGTCATTCATCGATAGCTTAGATATAAGAAATAACCTGGTTTAAACGCTCAAAAACGGAAGCTGCGTGTTATCGTCTTGTAGGTAGGAAGTATGAGCTCACGACAACTCGGTTTCATGCTTATTGTCAGCACATTTTTCGGTAAGTAAACATTTCCTCTCACGATCTATGATCAAAACACTCTAAATCCTCAAACATATAAACTTAATCTGGGATTAAGAAAAAATGAAAAAAAAACTTACCCGGGGGACTTAGTGCGTAAAGTTTGAGCAAAATGTACCTGGAATAATTTTTTGACTTTTCGAACCAAGAAGCCAGAAAGATTCCGAATGTTCCACCAATAATTCAAGGGTCTCTTTCAAGGAGGCGCTAGGTAATATCTACAAAATGCAAATCACCATCGCTATCCGGTAATCCCTAATTCGCAAGTCTGAAAATATTACATTTTGCTAGATCCTAGATTTAGCCCCAACCCAGCCAACGCTACGACTCGATGGAGCCAGGCGTGAACCGCCAAATGTGCATGGTCATGGCTCTCGTCGTTTTTGGGCCTTTGAAATCACCGGCTGAACCAAATCACGCAAAAAAGTAAGCACAGGACGCGCCCCGTTCACCCTGCGTGATTTATTTAGACGGTGAAGATGGAAGCGATGCGTTTCGGAAAAAAAGAAATCGGCTTCGGAGCAGAGCGGATGTTCTGGAAGACAAGGCTTGCGGCAAACGTGCCGTATTGCAAAGAAAAGAAAAACAAACAACCAAACATTACGCGTAGTTTCAGCACAAAGCTAAGATTAAAGCGAAAAGGTCTAAGGGTTGATCCTTTCATATTTGTGCATGCTCTTCGACATTTGAGTTCGCAACAAACTTCCGTGTTGTTCAATAAATTGTTTACGCGGAAACCTGAAGTTGGCTACCTAGCAAATGCTTAGCTGCGAAATGACAGGATACACAATGCTCCACCTGCAGTGCAGAGTGAGAAAAATGCGCAGAAGTGTAAAAAAAAATGCTTTCGGCATTCATATACAAACGCAGAAAAACATAATTCCAAACGTATCTTTGTTATGAGTTTCCCCTCCTTCGCTTTAATTGGTATATTCTGCACGTACCTAATTAAGTGAATCTGCAGTTTGAGTATTTGTTGCCAAGCGTAAAAAATTGAGTGTTGAAAACCTTACATCAAGTTCTCGGATAACCGTTAGCGTTCATTTTAATGCAAAGTTCCTGGTCGTATACAGATACTGCGTTGAACAAAGCAACTGAATTGCCACATACATGGAAAATTAGTCAGGAATGTCAGATATAAAAAATATATTTGCAATGTTTCTCTCATCAATACAGTTAGGCGCTGAAATCCTGGAATGGTGTGCAGCATTATTATTTGAATTATTAAGTATTCTTAAATTCAGAGACTTTGGGAAAACCTGTTTTATGTTTTAAGTGGGACCAGGCATTGATTAAAATTCTAACCCAATTAATCTTTATCATTTTATCGCTAATTATTTGTCTACGCTGTTGCATTGACGTCCATGCATATATCTAAAAGTATAAGAACTATTTTCTACAAAACTACTATGAGAAGGCAGGTGAGCTTGTGTATATTCACCACTGCCCTAGACTTCCTAAAAAAACATCCGTCACTCGGGGGCTGTCATACTGCACTGTTGAGTTGTAGCCAGGCCGCCAGGAAAGTATCTCTATTGAAAATGATTTTTTTACCGGAATTTTACTGCCAGTAAGAAATTATTTTACTGAATTATGTGACTCTTTTCACTACCGTTGACGCCGGAATTTAACGATAGTCTCCGGATTTTTCGCCGGCGTTTCATTTCCAGAAAAAAAAAATCTATGTTACTGAATTATGGGTCTCTTTTTACTTCCGGTAAAACAGGAACTTACCGGAAGTCACCGAATTTTCCTGAATTCACCAGAATTTATCGGCAATCACCGGATTTTTCGGAATTCGTCAGAACGTTTTTTGTTGTTTTTTTCGGACGTCAACGGAAGGCACTTAGGAAGTATCCGATGAATTGTGGGTGGTACAAGTTTACCAGATGCTCGACGATTCGGTAATAATTAAAACGGTTAGTTTATATAGACCTGAAAGTTCCATATCTTCATTTCACAGGGTCGATACCAGTGAAATAATTTGCACAGCTGTAGACAAAAGAAGCCAGAACAAATAGAAACAACCGTGTTACTTTTCGCAAAAAAAAAAATGCAGCTGGGGAAATTCCTAGATTTACGGTAGTTCAAATAATAAAACCGAGAAGGTGAACCACACGGACACACCCACACACACACTGTCAGAAGCACGTTTAGTGAAAACAACTAACGCGCAACCATCATACGCCGCCGTTGGGAAATCAAGGGCACAGTCACGGTGTCACCCATGATGCCGACACAGTGGCGTCTCCGGCGTCGTTTTCCCTCGCTGGATGCTTCTGAAGTCGGACGGATGAAGAGGCGCAAAAAAATGTCACTGAAAGATTTGGTTTATCCGCACGCCCATCTGCTAAGGACGATACAGGTCGCGCGCATGGTACGGGAACCCGACACTGAGCGTCCGTTCGTTGTCGTTGCTCGTTGATAGACAAGGAAACCGGTTTTCTTCGAAAGAGACAGCAAAAAGTCTCCTTCACATTTTTTCCACGCAACCAATGGAAGAGAGAGAGGGTGCATGAGGAAACGAATGACAGCCGGTGAAACTTCCAGCAAAGCCGGGTCGTCTGGTAAACAAAACTGGCTGCCGGTAAAATTCCAGCAAAATCTGGTAAGCGATAGTAGCCTGCCGGCAATTCTTCCATTAAATACTGGTAAACTAAGATGGCTTTAGATGAAAACGGGTGAAACTTGATCAGTTTTCACCGGATGGGACGCGGCCCGCCGTACTGCTACTCGTCGCAAACTCTAGGCATGTCGATACTGCCCATGTAGGTTAGTGTTTCAACGAAGGCTGTTACGAGGGTCAATGGGTGCAAAAATCGAGCGTTCAATTAATTTTCCTGCAGTGCTGAGAAGACGTGGCGAACGAAACCGAAACCACGTCATTCCTTTCCATGGCTAGGGTGTGGTACACCCTACCCTGTCCAAGGATGCCCCATACTGCCACACACCCAGTGTTGCATGCAGGAAATTTCGGAAGTAGCCTATTTTTTACAAAATATCGCTACTGTTTTTCTTTTCTTCTTAAACAGTTAATAAATAGGAACTCATTGGGTGCACCAATAAATTCTCCTAATATTATGAAAACCTACAGGGTGAAACAAGGAGACGGCAGGCTCTTTAAATCGACCGGAAAATTCGGTTTCTTAACCTATTGCGCTACGATTTTGTGCAGCGTTGCCCACAGATGGTGCATATTTTTTTGTAAAATTTGCGATGAGCGAACTTACCTGAGGAAAAAGTAAAGAAAGAAAAAGGCTTAGCTCCTATGGAAACGCAGCAACGCCACCGGTCTGCAAACAACGCGGCGCCGTTTCGCACGGGAGACAAGAGATGGCGCAACAAACGCCGCCAACGAACGACCATACGGCGCCGAGAGCAGGCCTTTTTAGCAGACGATCTTTTCGACTCAAAAGCGGCGCGCGTTCCGCAGGCGGCGACAGTCGCAGAAACAAAAAAGACGGGCGCGGTAACAGCAAGGAACTGCAGTTTCTTGTCTGCAAAAGGGCCGGCTCTTGGCGTCGTCTGCTCGTTCGTTGGCGGCAGTTGGCGTCGCGACCGCTTGCGCCATCTCTTGTCTCCCGTGCGAAACGGTGCCGTGTTGTTTGCAGACCGGTGGCGTCGCTGCGTTTCCATAGGAGATAAGCCTTTTTCTTTCTTTAATTTTTCCTCAGGTAAGTTCGCTCTTTACAAATTTTACAAAAAGAATGCACCATCTGTGGGCAACGTTGCACAAAGTCGTAGCGCGATAGGTTAAGAAACCGAATTTTCCAGTCGATTTAAAGAGCCTGCCGTCTCCTTGTTTCACCCTGTTGTTAAATGGAGACGCGCCTTGTCGACAACTGGAAGATGTGAAAGAAACAATATGCCGGATGCGAATAGCATGATGATGATAGTTGACAAGAAGTTTGCATGTGGCCTATAAACGCAAAGCTAGGTGACTTCGTCTCTACTACGGTGGTTTGTACTAACGGTTTCAACGCGATCACCGGCTTTCGGCGGTATTTCGTCCACATTCGAACAGTTCACTGAAATTTCAAATGAACGAAAAATAAAAGATGTGCCCACAAGCACATAAAAACGACAGCTAGAATAAATCAACATGAAATAACCAAAGAAATGAGAAACTGCAATGTCCATCACAATCACCAGAGAATCGCGCGTAAACACATTCTGCTTTTGTGACTTTATCCATAGTATCCAGGTAAATAAAGCATTTTTTTTTCTGGCAATAACATGCAGCTCGACTGAGACGTAGGCAATTAAAAGGAGGGGCGACCCTGAGAATAATTTGCGCGTTTCTCGGGTTATGGATGCCACACCTCTGTGCACTCATATCGGAACGTTTTATGAAGCGGGCCTGTCGACAGACAATGAAACAGCAGGTGCCATGCCTAAATTAAGTTGAATCCCATCTACGCCATAATTATTGTAGGACTTCTTAGCCTGCATTCTCGAATTCTGTTTTATAATTTAGATCCGTGTGAAGTGAACTAAACCTATGGCAACTAGGTTTCCCTGGGGAAGTCATTTGTGTATGTGGTGAAGGGCCCCTAGAGAGATCACCGGAGAATTAGATTTTTACTGAGAGGGGACTTTATTTTCGTTAATATTAAAAAAAATATATAACTTTATCACTTGTTTCTCTGCTTGTCAAATATTAGCAAAAATAGTTAGTTTACATCTCGAAATATGTTCGTGTTCTATTCAAGACAATACATATTGCAAGTAATCTGAGTGCTGCTCAAAATACGTTGCGAGTTTGTATCCTGTCCAACTCGGTATTGTGACACCCAAGTTCCACTAGAGCAACAAACAGAAACAAACAGGTACAGGCTTCAATCCAGAGTCTTTCGTGATTTGACGGGCTTTGTAGAATAAAGGTGTCTATGCTCTAACACGAGCACCATGCACGCGAGGGTGTCTTTGACAGGCTTGCAATCACTCGTGCTTACTTCGCGAGTACCGAACGACTAAACGCCTGCCGAAAGTACCATCGTGAGCATCCTATTTGTGTTTGAGGCTTGTCGCTTTTTTTTTGTTTCTGTTCGTCGCTCCAGTGGGACTCGGGCTTAAGTGACTCATACAACGCTCTTACGTTCATTTGAGCACAATCACAGCTCTGAAATGGTGTGCTCATTTATACCACATTTATTTATTGTCGCCTTTGTTATGGGCTCTTAAAAGCAAAAGGCTCAAACGAAAAGAAAAAAAAAATGTTGAGAGTGCTTAGATGGGCACGTATTACAAAGTAATGTTTCCACGAAGAAAATAGCGTGCTTAGAAAGTCTCAGGAATAGAATATGCATTTGATAACGCAGTTTGACCAACGTTCTTTTGTTCACATCTACAGTTCCATAAGAAGGCCTTTGAAACGAAAAAGAAATGTTTAATAGTCTGGTAGGGACACGTTGTTCAACAAATAAATTTTATGAAAAGAAGATATTTTAGAGCAATATCGACGGCGAGAGATTTAGTTGAAATTCTTCCCGCGAAGTCCATAACGTCACTGGTCATCCCGGAATGACCATCTCGGTCGTGAAGGCGAAGTCGATCCACCTCTTTACCACGCGCCCGAAATGCCGAGAGAAAAAAATAGGTGGAAAGGAGGTGACTGCCGACACAACCGCGCATAGCGCCGTCAACGTTGCTTTAAAATGTTTTTTTTTTTTTTTTTTGCGTAAAATGTGTTTTTTTTTTTTTTTTTTTTTTAACACGCGTGTCTTATCCAAACTGTTGATTTTGTTTTTTTCTTTTGAGGGGCTATTTGAAACAATCTGCCATGAGATGTTCATTAATGGTGACGCCGCTACAGAAAGTTTTCTATACTGTGATGTTAACCATGTTAAATATACCTGAGACTGGAGTAGAAAAGAACATAAAAGTCGAAGAAACAGAACGGTGTCCCGTTCTGTTTCTTCGACTTTTATGTTCTTTTCGACGTCTCAAACTCAGCTACCAGGTTTATTTAGTCCTCCTTCTTATATAGTCCACAAACAGCCCACCACCAGCCACAAAGGGCAACTCTAACCAGTTCAACCGCCAAACCCTCCAGACAGTCACTACCGACACAAAGGGAAAACCTCTAAACAGTTCAAACGCCAAACCCTGTAATTCCAAAGTAGCGCTATGGACGGCTTTTATGCCCATTCACAAAGATAACTCAGCATTCTCCCCCAAAATATAACAAAAGGACCATTACCTATTCGAAAGTAACAAATATTCACACACACATGCAAAAAAAAAAAACCTTTTTCCACTTAAAATGTTTCTCTTTCCTCCTCGACGAATGGATGACACGCACTTAACCTAAAACGGTGCAAAGATGAACAGTACAGCATTTCCCCCTTCCCCCCCCCCCCCCCAGAAAAAATAAATAAATAATTGTAATTATATTTTGAAAAAAACTTTTGGGAATTTTTATCGAACTGTAGCGACGCCTGGCTTATGCAATTACCTAAAGACTTTATTTGCGCCGTCTCCCTTACTAGCCTTTTTGTATCATTCCTCTCCTTGTGAATGATTTCTGACTCCGACCAAATAGCAGTGCAGTTGTTACATTTCTTTGACATGTTTTCCGATTTCTGAGTTCGGTGCATTGTTCGCAAAACCAGAAATCGCAAAACATGTCAACGAATGTAACAACTGCGCTACTATTTGGTCGGAGACAGTAATCATTCACAAGGAGAGGAATGATACAAAAAGGCTAGTAAGGAAGACGGTGCGAATAAAGTCTTTAGGTAAGTGCATAAGCCAGGCGTCGCTACAGTTCGGTAAAAATTCCCAAAAGTTTTTTAAAAATATAATGATAATTTTTTTTTCGGGGGGGGGGGGGGAGGGGGGAAATGCTGTACTGTTCATCTTTGCACCGTTTAGGTTAAGTGCGTGTCATCCATTCGTCGAGGTGTAAAGAGAAACATTTTAAGTGGAAAAAGGTTTTTTTTTTGTGTATGTGTGTGAATCTTTGTTACTTTGGAATAGGTAATGGTCCTTTTGTTATATTTTGGGGTAGATTGCTGAGTTATCTTTGTGAATCGGCATGAAGGCCGTCCATAGCACTACTTTGGAATTACAGGATTTGGCGTTTGGACTGTTTCGAGGTTGTCCCTTTGTGTTGGTAGTGACTGTCTGGAGGGTTTGGCGGTTGAACTGGTTAGAGTTGCCCCTTTGTGGTTGGTGGTGGGCTGTTTGTGGACATATAACAAGGAGGACTAAATAAACCTGGTAGCTGAGTTTGAGACGTCGTCCTGCCCCTTTCTGTTTCTTCGACTTTTATGTTCTTTTCTACCCCATTCTCAGGTATATTCAACGTGGTTAACATCCACTAGCTCGCCTGTACCCTTACTATTGTATACTGTGATGTGTTCTTCGTTTATTTCAGAAAACAATAACTTGATTAAGATTTTACTGAAGAAAATATTATCATTCATGGTTTATGCCTTTATCTTTGTTTATTTGTTATATCCCTGCAAACCGCACCAAGATACGTAAATTTTACAATATAAATAAATGTAACAGGAAGGATTTAATCAAAATGTGACTATAGATCTCAAGAAAGCGATGTCAACCTTCTCGATGAGTCTCGTAGTATTGTTCAGAATTATTTCGTTTAGTCGACGTGGAGTCGTTTGATTATTCCTGCACAGCTGAATTTCTATAAGAGCAGTGTAAGTGAACCGATCCACCTCAACCCAACAAGCTTTCCCAAACTATCTTTAGATCTCATCATATAATCTTTAGATCTCACCACCTAGATAGATCTCATCATATAATCTTTAGATCGCATCACCTAGATAGATCTCATCATATAACTTTTAGATCTCATCACCTAGATCTCATCATATAAACACGGTCATCTCCTACTTGCCATTTACAGCAGGGGTGTGCTCAAGATACGCAAACAAAGAGAAAGATGACTTAATGAAGATATGTGGACGAAGAGGAGTGCAGAATACCGTTTCTGAGCGAATTATTAATGGTACCGAAGCGACTCCTGGCCACTGGCCGTGGATGGTGGGACTGTATACTGCAGAAGACCAATTCACTTGTGGTGGCGTTTTAATAAGCCGCCAGTTTGTTTTAACTGCTGCTCATTGCTATAGGTATGTATACATTTACTCCAACTTCTTTTTTTCCAAAACAAGGATTCAGTTTCGAGAGCCCCCGTTGAGTTCCTAGATTTGACATTGGTTTAAGTGATTTAATGAAAGTCCAACTCTTCACGAAGTATGCTATCTTAACCGTTAGCGGGGACATAAGTGCTCGTGTTCTCGGGTACTACCAGAACACACTACCAGCCCAGCTACAACTGCAGACCGCCCGAATCACTACACTGAAGCATTGTCATGCCGAATACTCTGATAGCGTCTGATGCCAAGCGTTCCCCTGTTCCCGGTAACTGCGATTAAGACCGTACACAGGCGAGGCAGGCAAGTTTTGGGGCTGCAATTACGTAATCCTTTACGGAACACTTCTCAATTTTAATATCTGTAAAAACTAACAAATAACCAGTGTTCGTAACTTCACTCTTGAGCCAATATGTAATTGGATAAGTGATCGCTCTTTTTTTAAATTGAAGTGGTAAAAGTGACGCAAACTGTTAATGTCTTGTTTTCGTTTTTGCGATGTTTGCCGTAAGGGATGTTTCCGTGTGTAAGTCGCAACTTTATACAAGTTGCGGCTTATTAAACGGTCGTTTTCAGAGAAAAGATGAAATATAAATCGCCCCCCCCCCCCCCCCCCCCCCATAACCGGATTGTTCTTCTAAAAACGTTGGTACATATCTAAGTTGCACTTTAATTTGTGTACCGCGGCCCTGGCGTCACGCTGCAGGTAATGGCAGGGCGCATGCGCAGACCTCTACTTCACGCGAATCTGGTTTTTGCGCTGGCGCGGTGCCAACACCTCGCGCGGGAACTGCGCCTGTGCCCCCACATGGTTGGGGCTTGTTTGCAAGGGGCTCCTTGGCCTATAGGGTAACTCCAAGTCAGACGATCGAGGCCTAAATTTGAACCTCACGGATTGGTTTCAAATAAGTAAATAGACTTGTATGTGCTATTGTACGATTTTGTATTTTCGAAGTCTATTTTTCCTGAACTTCGGTGGGTGTTTTTCGCCGTTTATTCTAAGGCGAAAATTCCAAATTTACCGAAGTTTCTTTTTGTTTTATTTCCATTCCTCTAAAACTTGGAATTTAATTTCGCGGTGATTCCCATCAAAAATAAATAAATACGCAAGTAATATTTGGCCGTAAAGGTATGCTAGGTAAAAAAAATTAAAAAAAAATAAAACACTCCAGTAGGAAATAATATTTGTGAGTTAAAAACAGCGCGAAAAGACGAAGTCTAGACGAAGAAGTAACACGGACGCAGCGCTGACTTACAAACGAGTTTATTGATCGCAATATTGCAATATATATTCGCATTTTCACAAACAAAAGAGAAGAAACTAAAGGAAGAATTCTGCCCACCGGATACATACTGGACAAAAAATAAAAAGCGGCTATTTCACAGCCGTACAGAGCACGTGTTCAAAAAAAGGCAAGCCAGAGATCTAGAAAATTAATCTCTTTGCCAGATAGGGCCACAGATGGACTGCTTACACATGCAGCGTCCAACCTCGCTTAATCAACAGCCTCCAGATTTTCACCAGTAAGCTGGTTCCTGTGACGCTTCCTCACACCGTTCGAAGTCGGGTACGCAACCACAGTCACGGCACTGAACGCCTACATGACCAGACACGGTTGTGGAGACACTGTAAGCGAGCTCTCTTAACCCGTCATTGAGACAGCGGCTCGTCTGGCCAACGAAACGCTTTCCCCACGTTAGAGGAAGAGAATAAACCAGTCCCTCAGAGCACGCGGCGAAGCGATCCCCGATGCCTCATGTTGCAAGCCGTGGCCTCTTTCGTAGAGGGGTTAACAGTTCCGCACAACCTGGACGACATGTCCGGAGCAGAGAATAAAACGTCGACGTCAAACCTGCCCGCAATGCGTTTTAGGTTGTGACCCAGGTCGTGAATAAAGGGAATGAGAACGAAATTCTTCTTTCCCTTTTATTTGTTGACCTGTTCTCCACTTGTCACAGGCCTGCCATTGAAATCTTTGAGCAGAGACTCGGCGACCGCTGTTAACGCGTGGAAGGTGAATTCAGCATCTGCGAGCTGTTCAGTTTTCTTGTCACAGCTATGTTGCATTTTGTGATATCAAGACCTTCGCAGAACATGTGTATAGCAAGTCCTCGCAATTGCCCGCTTAACAATGTTTGAGGGAGCGGACACGAAGGGCAACCGCGGCTTTCCAGCACGCGGCTCATAGCCCTCACAAACATGGCATGGACGAATAGTTAAAATCAAATCCAAGAATCGGATACATTCTGCCTCAGGCACCTCATGAGTCGAAAAAAGTGGCGAAAGGCAATCACTAAAAATTCCTAAAACGTGAGACATTGCCGAAAGAAAGGACAAGGCATCGGCATCTAACAAAACCAGAAAATCATCTACATCCCGGAACACATTTGCAACCTAATATCTTCTCAGCTGAATTTCGCGCTCGTGCCATCACTCTTGCTAATTCGTCCAACGACAAGAGTTCCACACAAGTGTTGCTTTGATAAGCGTCGATACCTTAAAGGCATTAAACTCCTGGAAGTCGCTGCCGAGAAGCTGGTATTCATCCCGCCCTATATTCCATCAACCTACTTGTGGCCGACCGAGGTGAAGTGGTAAAGTATGTAAAAGGAGAAGATTCAGCTGCCCGTTTTGCCCTATTTGGGCAATCTCTATGGTGCACAGTTATCAATGTTACAAAAGCACCCCAACTCTCCTTCCTCTTAAATAAAGATATGACGTCCCAAACTAAAACCAAAACAGTTGCTTTTGTCGCGACGTAAAAGTACAATGACATGTTATGCTGAATGAACCTTGACGATGTAATCCGAAGGACTCCTTCTTACAATGGTCCAAGATTAGAAACTGTGGTGGCCTCTTCCCAGAACCATTGACCGTGTGTGCTGATCAAGCTTAATTGTAAAAAAAGTTTTTATTTTGGGTGGGGGCTACAGGCATATTGAGGTTTGGTGTTTACCGGAAAAAAAAAACGCATTGACCTGAAATTTAACGACGGGAGTGTTTCGTAAGTTTTCGGTTTATCCTAAAACTCAGAACCCTATTTAATATTGGCGATGTCAACATACCTTTTCCAAGATATTTCGCCACATTTCTTTTAAGATCCCTTGATTTTTATGGAAAACAGGCCCAAACGGAGTAAAAGCCCCATTTGTTTACAGAAAACTTTGAAACGAGAGTGCAAAATAAATACCGCTTTAGTGTGTCTATATGTTCTACTAAATTATCCAGCGTGTTTTGTCACGCAATTACAAGTGTTTCTAAGGAAGCAGATTCGTTAAAATGACCCAAAATGTTTATATCCACTTGTTATATTAAACAAGATGCCAATATATCAGAACAAAACTGATGTGCGCTCGTAGTAAGGGAAGCAAAGCATAATTTAAAAAGTATTTTCATATATAACTTCTTACTGTTGATTCTAAAGAAATGCAAAAGAGTGAACATATAGCAAAAAACTCAATTATAAAACGTAGAAATCTTAAGGTGGGTCTAAAAATTTATCCTCAAGGGTAACAGACGCTTTATACACGCGCCAGATTACAGCCGCCATTGCTGACCTTTCTTTCTCTCAACGAGAATCCGAGTCACTGAAGGCGTCGTTGACAAGCCTCCACAAGTGCGAAAGCTGGGGAGAAGGACACAGTAGAATATAAAATGACAATTACCTCACCTGCTATGGCAATAATGAAGTGAAGCAAACGGAGTAAGAAGAAAGAAAAAGTGAAAGACGTTTACCAATTTCTGTAATGCGCAATTAAAGCGCAGCTCTTGAGAAGGAGGAGGAAAGGGTGCGCCTCTCCTTTTCGTCCACGCCCTCTCCTTCTCCTACCCTCTTCCTTTATAACTCCCCCTTCCGTCCTCCTCTGCTGCTCCTCCTCCCCTTCATTTCTCTTCCTCCTTTTCTCATCCCCTTACTCTCCCCTTCTCCTCCTCCTCTCCTCTTCCCTCCTCCACATCCGTACTTTCCCCTCCTGGCTCTGCGTACCTTCCCTTTTCCCCTCCTCCGTGTCCTCCCCTTCTCCCACAGTTCCCCGCTAAATTTATTTGGAAAATAGACGCCACTTGACATCAACACCAAATCAGCTTCCCCCTAAATTTGGGGGGAGGAATGACGTCACATGACTTTGTGTCACATCACCGATGAACAAATTCAGTTTCTCCGCCAGATTTGGAGGGAAATTTGACACCACGTGACCTTAACACCAATTCAATTTCCCAATAAATTTAGTGGGACAGTTAGGCCGACGGCGACGGCGACGCCGACAGCGACGCTACTTAAAGCGGAAACGGGCGCCTATGAGCTGCGTTCTTGAATTGAAGGTAGGTTATGGCGGCGCCCATGAACAGCGGGTGCAAAGCGTCTATAAATAGCCAAAAAATTCACGCAACCACATGCCAAAGTTTCAGCGCGATCCGACATCTTAATCAAAAGTTATAAGTGATTTTTTTTTAACTTTCAATGGGAAAATGGCGGCCGACGGAGTTTTCGAATACGTGGGGCTCTATGGAACCAGAAACCGAAAACGGGAGAAAATGGGCTCCATTTTCCCATTGAAATTTTCAGAAAATCACATAACTTTTGAATAAGGTATCGGATCGGGCTGAAACTTTGGCATCTGGTTGTGACCTCTGGCGCCACCTTTGGGTGGAAAATGAACGTTCGGCGATGCTTACTTTTGTTTCGCGGTAAAAAAAAGTGTAATTTTTTTTTCTTGTAACTCCCTGTAGCTTCGCCGCACGTACGCAGCGCGACTCCTCCCCTGGCGAGGCATGCCGAAACAAGTTAATTTAGGGCACGCTGAGCCGACGATGCGGGAATCTGGTGCTTTTTTCGTGCTGGCCTCGCGCTTCGTTATGTATACCGAAGGCAAAAGGGCAGGGGTGTACTGGGTATGGTTGCGTGCAGTGTTATGCCACAACATCGTATTAAACAGAAATATGTGTCCATCGAAAGCTGTTATTCATTTTCTGGGAA